ACGGCAAGGCCCACAGTATACGCCGGGGACGGGTCTTCTCCAGACTACAGGGTCAGCACATTGTCATGCGTGGGTCCGTACGATTTGGCTGGGATGAAGGGGCCAAGCGCGTAGTCAGGTTGTACTCTCAGACTGATATCCTGACTCCAATGTTGGGTCTTCTGGGCAACTTGGAGGACGTTTCATTTATTTTTAGTGGTGCCCTCATCACACCCGACGGGCATTTTGTCCATGAGTATGCATCACAGCACCAATGAAGCAATACACGTGATGTCTGGATGATTTTTTTTTACATCAATGTGAAGTTTATTGTATGAACAGTATTTTTCTCCTTTTTTTTTACTTCGTACTGTTTAGCTCCACGAAGAATCGGGGTGGGGGGAGCAGGCGCGATCCTATTAATATACTACTACGCGTTTACACAGTAAGTTTATCAGGTATGATGACATATGTTCTCAAGCGATTCTCAGCGACAATTTCTTATCGACTCAATTAAGATCTCTAGTTTTCAGCAGAGGGTAAAGTATCTTTAAAGGGCAACCAGTACAATGGTTGTACAACAGAGGTTAATGCGACTATACGGCATCTAATAACGCGTTCTACGTAATAATGTGAGTAGCCCTCCTGCAATAGCAGCTTGAACGCACAGTGTAACCTGTTAGAGTATCTCTACATCGACTAGATGACGCATCTGTAGAATCCATTGTGGTATGTACAAGACAAGACAGACGGGGGTGATTTGCTTCTGCAATTTACCCAGATTTGACACCAAGACAGTTAACTCTCTTTTCGCACCGAAGAAAGCTTTATGTATTTAGTAAACAATTAAAATGTTCGTGCTGTACGCTTTTAACTAAAGCTTTCACTGTTGCAAAAAAAATGCATGAAATTTGCGTAGCAATTTTACTTGCACTCTTGATTGCTACTCGCTTATAGCCATTTGTTGAGAGCAAACGTAAAAACCTGGAGGTAGAAATAGCAGCATGCGTAATCTTTGCGGACCTCGTGGAGATCGTGATCATCGCGTAAGCAGTCATGGCCTCCATGAGGTTGTAAACGGAGTATGAGATTCCGTTATTAATCCCTTTTATGGCGAAATCTTGAACTTCTAAGTTCCAATATGTATCCGCTTCTGCATTGCACGAATTGATTGTAGATTTGATCTTTTCACAAGTAACGTGTAATTACATGTTGCTATGCAGTATTTATACCATTCGTTACAATATTTTATGAGCATAACTAGCACGCGCTTGCGAAGACGGCTCATATATCTGTATATTCAAAAAATGCGAAGCAGTACCGCGGAACAGGAGAGAGAGTAAGCAAGGGGGTGATAGAGGGTATATATTAATAATGATATGTATCGATTTAGCATATGTTTACTGAAACTTGAAAACATAACTCCAGACCTCTGAATCACGACCTTGGAGTCCAGCCAGAGTCGTGATTTCGAGCTTGTTTAAGTTTCTTGGTGGAGCCCAGTGTTGGCGGCTCGTATAAATGTGCATTACTACACAAGAGTGCTGGCTGGTACACACTCTTTGAGCAGATAGTTAATCTGGACATGACTATCTGATTTTCAAAGCATCAGTAGATTGTCATAATAGCCCATAAACAGTTGCACCGCCTCATGTCGAACGAGTCACCATTCACATGGCCACCATTTCGCAATTTGTTGTCTAGAACTGAAGCAATCAACCCCACCTCTACATTACTCTAGCACGCAATCTAATGCGTCTAAACCTTGTTGTACTCGTGGCGGCAACAACTCTCGTCGTGGCCCTGGATGCTACCTCGACAGCAAGAGTGTCAGACGCAATCACCGCGACTGTTGATCCGTCCTGCCCACATGGTTGCCGACTTCTGAGGGGATACACGCAGACCGATGGTGCTGACAAAGATGAAGCCAGAATGTTTTCAAGTTGGCTCAAAGGTACTAACGGATTTTCCCGAATAGAAGCCGGTCTTGTAATCCCCATAAGCCCCTAAAAATCAATCAATTTTGACGAGGGGACTTGTAAACGGGTAAGGGCTTGTATTTAATGAAAGAAATTTTTTCATCAATGGTT